TAAAATTTTAATTCAATATAAACTTTGTTTTTCCTGAATCAAATGTGTTTTTTGCTATTTTGTCTATCACTCATTACTGATCACTCTGTTCACATCATCCATGCTGACACTTCTCCATATATCATCTTTATTATCCTCAATTCTGTAAAGTTATGCTAATGTTGTTATAGCGATCAATCATTATGACTGTATGTTGACTCGTGTACTTTAATTTGACAATAGTCTACCTGCAGGTGACCATCTAAATTTTGTTGTTGTCTGAATTCTGAAAATAAATCACAACCATCAATAATTGTCTTGAAAAGAATTGACAGCTTGAAACGAAAAGTTTTTTTTTTGTTCATTACCTGTACTTGAATTGAATTCCACTATTCTAAAATGTGCGCTTTTCTTTTCATAAACATCCTTGTATATTTTTCAGCTTGTTGAGTGTGATAAAATTATATAAATACTTTTCTATTTCGTGACCTCACCTGCTCTCTTTGTATCAATTTGTGCATTATCCTTCGAAGAGACTATGGGTCTTTTATTACTAAGCTAGGTAGCCGTCAGAGAACGCTCCACTAGTTGTGGCTCCCTAGGTCAGGTCATAAGCTTGAAGACTCTGCAAGGGAAAGTGCAATTTGTGCTGCAATGTTATTGTTAAGAAAAGTTAAATTACTAATATTATTCATATTTAAAATTAAAGGAATTTTTTATATGGCAAATGTTTTAGCATTCTTGGTATGATAAATGTTTAATGTGAATGCAGACGTCTGTGCTGAGAAAATATCCGCTTCGTTATCTATAAAAAAAATAACGTTATGTCCATTTGTATAATTACATCATAGTTATTACTATTACCATAAACCAATTTCACTGTTATTTTTTCATTAACACTTTGGAACATTTTTAACAAAATTGCTTCAAAGTGTCAATTTTCTTCCCAAATTAAATGTAAAATTGAATTAGTTTGGCCTGTTATACCAAAAAATACTGTTACTTATTTTTATAAAAGTCTAAATATAATCATGACTGGTTCATCTGTGTCATAGTTTTATCATTAAATGTTTATTACTTTATACATTAAAGGCCACACTACTTCAATGTTATGTTTAATACTCACAATAGTTATATATTAGTGAATTAACAGCATCAAAGCAAACTGATTTAAACTGTCCATTGTCATAAGTTGAGTATAAATTTTCTATCATTTTTGTTTTCTTTTTATCAAAATTTTTTTCTGTTAATAAAATCACAAATAATGTATTGCAAAACATAACATTTTAAACTATGGCCTGTAAAATGCCCTGAAAATACCAATTTGATTGCAAATTTAAGAGACAGCTTGGTAATATAGAAAGCATTCAAACACTGACAAGCTCAGATTTAACTTACAATATTTTTTTCATTCAGACATTGAAACTTGGCTAATTTAACGTAGTCTGTAATCACTCCTTGTATGTCTTCACCAGAGCGCAATTCAAAATTCAATAACAAGATAGCCTGGTTGCATCAAATCAATTTAAATTACATGCAGTATTCAATATGTGATTACATCATAGTGCATTGATTGTATCTGCCAGGCTTATATAATGTGAATTCCTGTTCCTGATTGCCTATATAATGAGAATTCAATACTCGTTATTGTTAATAAAAGTTTTCTACTTCTATTTGTAACTTTTCATCAGTGTTTTTGTCCTAGACCAAATCAGTGGATGTTCTTTTTTTGTTTGTTTTGATTCAAGAGGCTGTAATTAGTTCTCCAGCATCAATACACTTTTTTTGGGGGGGGGGGGGTGATGGGAAAAGTGCCCTCCATTGAGTTTTAAAGTATAGTAAAATACTTGTTTTTCAAAATTAAGTTCTCAATATTGCTAAATTTAACAGAGAGGGCAATAAATCAGTTATTGTAAACAGTCGGAGTGATTTTCATGACATTTTCATAACACCTTCAAAAGCACAAATATTATAATTTACAGTTCACCATTTCACATCCTTTGATAATTTAAAAAAATATCATTATGCTTGGAAGCCCTATACCATATTCATCTTCACAACTAGATTGTTTTCAGATGTATGCATATTACCCTTTGGTAATTAGATTAGATATTAAGCATACCTCTGGTATCAGATGTTGGTTCGAATCCATTAAATTAAACTCTCAAAAAACAAATTATTCAAAAACTTTTTTTCACATCACATATGAGCCATTTCAGTATAATTTACATAGTTTTTTTTGCAAGAAAAATGTAAACTCCTATAATCGGAATAAATTTTACAAGAAACCATACAATCTATATATGTGCTACTAATAGAGCAAATACAGTATATGTTTCAAATGAATCCATACAAGAATACATTTGTGCAATAGTAAATTCTATTCCACTGTTTCATGCATGAAGTCAACTACCCGGTAATCAATCCACTTTTTAATAAATAATAATTGTATCTGCCGTGATATATATGTGTCTTAAAATATTCTCTATGCATTTCTTTAATTTATATTCCACTTCTCCTATTATTATAAATATTAGTATGGAACAGTCTTTTGTTTGAGATGATGTATATAATTCTGCAGTTTAAGTGCAGTTTAAATGAAATTCAGTTGTATTTAAAAGGCATACACTATTTTACATAGTGATTCTAATTTCGTCAGTTAGTCAGTTTAATAAATGATATACAAATTGGGTGGTTTCCAAAAAGGGAAAACTAAGTTCTGGTATCTGTTCCAATTCACAGTCTATTTTCTCCTTCCAGTTGTCGAGTTAGATCTTATTTTCAGCAATTTCTATTTTAATTATTGTATAATGTAACAATAAATCACAAGAGAGACAGATCCCAAAGGATTGTCAAGTCATTACTGGATGAGCAGCATTCTATTGATTCGACAGATAAGTCCATCCAAATAGAGAGATATATTGTCTAGAAAATCCATCTACCACACTTTCC